ATCTCAATACAAAACAGTCATTGAAATAAACAATTACAGTCAAAAATCATACTCATCTAAATTATTCAATAAATCTGTCATTTGATACACAAAAATAGATCTGTGGGTTATATTATCTGTTAATTCTCCGGATTTACGTAGCATAGTCACATCGTCCCCCTTGTTTCTAATAGTGTAAGGCACCGTTTAGGATTATCGTAGGTCATGGCGCCATGGTATTTTAGCACCTTCAGTGCATGAATGCACAACCACACCACTGTATAGGGTCTAACAAAGATCCGTTAAAAAAGGATGGAAAATATACACTATTTACAAGCTGCTGCGATATACTAATTTCAGGTCCTGAAACTAGGGAATAAAAGAGGTTTTAATTCTTGTAACTATTTTGTCACATTTTTTATCCATCGCCATCAACACTTGTTTTTTGTCAGTCTTATTTCCCCGTTATTTTCAGCCAGTCATGGTCATGACGTTTTGCTTTAACGTCCGCTTTATACACCACAATAGCGATTAAGACGACACTCCGCATCTCTGCAATGCAGAAGGGCAAAAGCTACAAGTTTACTTACTTCCGCCAACCGCGTGGACTTTCGGCTCCTGGTCGCTTTGATTTTCCGACGACTGCCGAATTTCAACGTCAGCGCTTCTCGCCTGTCTGCCGAGGTCATAGAATCCCTAAGTCAGCGAAAAATTTACGTCCTTCCCCGCATGCCTGCTTCAAGTGCACTTACGTGTTAAGATCACTGCGCATTTCGTCACCTGTCCGAATTTCTGGTTTGAAGCTAACGAAGGTAGTCGATGCACAGGCCAGTTTCTGGGTCTTCCTGTTTTTTGCCACCACCACCCACTCGTAGTCGTCATTTCGATCGTCTTGTACAGCCTCCCCAGTGTAACTCAGTTCCGCACCGTCGTCGTCGACATTCATGCGATACCGGCAATTACCGAGTGATTCGACACGAAGCGCTTCTGACGTCGGTCTGTCGCAGTGCATAAACGTAGCAACAACAACGTTTTCCATATGCTAATGCCAGAAAGAACACAGCAAGTTGCAGGCCAGTAAAATTTAACTCTAGCCCTGAAAGCGGTCTAACTATAGCAACAAACACACTACTTTTTACTAAAATTAATCATTAATTTATTAAATACAATTCTTCATGACTATTGATGACAAAAAATTTAATTATACAGTGCAAATATTTAGAATGTCGGTCCTCAACTGGTCAAAAGGATAATAATCGTTATCACAGTTAGACTCGCTGAAGACTGCAATTCAGAGAATCGAAGCATTATCAGTCAAAAATTAACACAACAGTCATGGCTAACTATAATTTATGCTTACTCGACGATGGGTATATTTTTGAAGATATTAATCTAAGATAATTCATTTCAAAAATATATTTCCGAAAGAAAAATCAAAAATTTGCAAGACAAAGTAAACATTTTACTGAAAAAAGCAATAAAACCAGAAAAGCGAGAAAACTAGCCTACAAATTTAAACCAAATCATTGGAAAATAAATCTAACAGCAAAAGTCTAAAGAGTTCAAAATTGAATTTCTGCCAAGCAGTGAATCCACCAAAACTATTTGTTCGATACCGACAATTCTTCTTATATCATTGAAACATCTGCAAATCGTAGGCAGGTATCACCATGCTTTTATCGATGCTGCCGTGCAGCATAGGTGAAAACCTGCTGTCTGGCTCGAGCAGTTCAAAATTGGACAACTTCCCACACGTTTTACATTGTTCTCCAAAATCCTGCAGACAATGGATGGTTCGAATAAAAGAAGTTGAAGAAATCAGCTTTTTAGAGTCTTTGTATGCAGTAGAACCATTTGGACGTCTGGCAGTTCCTGACAGT